AAACTGATGCTGCAACATGCAGTAATATATATATATATATATATATATAATGTATTGATAAAACCTATCAACTGTACAATCTATATAAAAAGAGCAGCTCCTATCCCAGTCTGTTTTCCAACTGGAGAAAGTATCACAAAACCATTTCCCAATATGTTGAGTCTCGAAGATTCAAACTTGGGCGGGGTAGAATGCGCACCCTAAGATGTTTCAATGTGCATTCTTGCACATCCTTAAAATGTTTCTGCCTTTGCTATATTATGATTGCATAGCAGTGACCATATATTTCCAATTCATCTATCACATGGATCTTCAGTTGATTTTAAAGTTGGGAAAAAGAAGAGGGAATTATGGGAGGTCACCATCCAAGGTTGCGTATCATTTTATAACTCGGTATGTTAGTGATTGTATGCAACAGTGCAAAACAGAAAGGGGTATGGGAGCGGCCAAGACGATAGACCCTCTCACAGGCAAATATGAGCATCTCCAATTTGCTCATCTTTTAGTCTTTAGCTATGCATTCTTAGGAAAACTCAGGAAGGAGAGGAAAGAAAACATCTAGATGGAAAATAAAATAAAGTTCTCATTTCTTTAAAAAAAATTCACTGTAATATAAAACTGAAGAAGCATTTCCTCAGGGGTAAAATATTTTATTGTAGTATAAATAGGGAGCTTTCTGGGTCTTTAGGTTAGTAATATATTAAAATGCCCTGTGAAGAAAACCCACTGGGCTTCTCTTAAAAGTTGCTTCTCTCACTGAGGGAAATTTACAGAGTGTGTCAAATGAGGATACGCAAAGCTTATGGTATGTACTTTAAGCAATTTTTTTTTATTTTTTTCAGTTTAGGGACAAAATGGGTGAATGAACAGGGTAATGCAGACAACTACCCAATTAAAAAAGACCCTCCCTCCCAAAACACAGACAGTGGTTTTCCCAATAGAACTTAACAAAGACAAAGGAAAAAAAAATACAATAAAAAGCCAGGTTGCCAATGACCTTTGGTCATCTAAATAATAAAAAAATCCAAAAAACAAAGATAAAAGCTGACGCCACTGTTCTCAACAGAGCGTGTAAGCAATAATAAATAGTGACTTCCATAGTAAAAGATAAAATTTCAGGTTACGACGAACAGCTTTCATTACAGGAATAGAAAAGGCTGATAATAACAAAATATTTTGCATTGCCATATACAAAAAAGGTATTGACTGCAGTGGGGCTCTCTCTCTCTCTCTCTCTCTCTCTCTCTCTTTCTCTCTCTCTCTCTCTTTAATATGCTTTCAATATCAATTTTTTTCCAATCTAAATATATAAAGCACCATTTTAATTTATTTTTCTTTTTGGCAATGGAAAGAAAAGCCTGCGAAACTTTATTTTTTCCTTTCACTCTATTTTTTTAATCTTTTTTTCTTTTACTGCATATGAAGTTTAAGATGCTGGAATGTAAAGGGGTAAGAGAAGAAAAGGGACCAGAGCACACTACAGAACAAACCAACATCATCACCTTGCATTACTGCATACAATATGGCAGCAAAAAACAAAGAAACCCCAAAAGAACTTTGATATGTACAACCATCAGAGATGCTCATTTAGTGCGACATTCAAACAGGTTTTTGTTCCCCCTCCCCCAAAACAGCCATTATATGGCCTCTTATCTGTACAATGTCACACTTTCCTTGTCATTATTTTTTGAAACATACAAATATTTTGCACTATATTATCCTGCCAAATTAAAAAATATATACTGTGGCAGCCTATTTGTTTTTTGTTTGTGTGTATGTTTTTCCACAACCAAAAAAGGTAACTGATACTCTTTTTTTAAAAAAAAAAAGAGAAACAAGCAACAATTAAAAATACAAGCTTCATTATAAATACTATAGTGCCTACTCTAGGTGAACATTAAATTCAAATACCATTCTAAAAATTACAGAAAAAAGAGACCATAAATGTGTTTTTCTTCTTTTCCTTTTGTTTGCTTTTCCTCTTCTTAGCATAGGAATCAACAGGAGTGTGCATTTTCCTATATTTAAGTACTAAATATTGTTAAACCTTTTTCCAAAGTATTTATTTTACAACCTGAAATGTTGTATGTATATCCAAGGCATAGGATTTTTAACTACTGGTTTTCAGTGAAGAACAGGTCTTGTACACCACCAAGACAATGAATTCTAAAATACATTTTCCCCTAAACATAATGAATTTTTTTTAAAAAAATCATAACATTTATATTTTTAAAAGTTTTGTACAAAATAACCACTTCTTTGCACTGCAGGAGCAAGACCAATGTCTGGGTTTTTTTTGTTTTTTTTGACATAACTGCAGGACTTGTTCCCATTTACAGCGCCATAATGTTATGTCCCACTCATTAGTCAAGTAAAATGGCAAGCTGGCAGAATTATTTATATGTTTATCATGAGATCATGCTCATTAAAAAAAACATTTATCTTGCAATTTTTCCCTTTAAAGTATAGACCTGTAAACTGGGAAAATTGTACAGTGCATTTAAATTGTCCTATCTGAGCAGTCTTAAAAAAGATTTTTATACTCAACCTGTGTACCTCTGATTAAAAGAAACAATACAGACACGACAGGCAGAGTCAAGTGCTATGTGAACTTCCAGCGGGGCAGATGCTAGCTTAATCATAAAGCAATGAATCCTTTTTTCTTGTCAATACAACAAGCACATAGCATAGGTTTAAAAAGAAACAAAATGAAGAACAACTTTTAGGGAGCACTACTACTCTTTCTCTTTCTTTCTCTCTCTCTCTCAGAATGTCACACATCAAGGCAAATCTTAATAGTTCATAGTTAATCATCATATCAATATTAGCTTATAACCTGTTCTTAATTTTAAATGGCAAACAGTGCTAATAAATCACTATATATATTTATACACTTCAGTAAAATATTATTGCCAGACTGTTTATACACCTTTCCTTATATAGAGGAAAATCATAGATTGATATATGATACACATGTTTGTGCATTGTTAATTTGATTGTCTAGTTAACAACCAACTAGACCTGCACTTAATAGTGTCTGTTTTTACGGTTAAGTCTTATTTTGTGCCAGGATCACTAAGATTTTTTTTAAAAAAATCTTTATAATGTGAATTTTCTTTCTCATGTCCTTAATCATCTTCCAAGGCCTTTTGCACAAGTCACATTCTTTTTATCAATAAAATAATTTTAAAATGGAAATGAGGGAGAAGAGAAGGGGAAGGGGAGGGACTGATACAGGTTAGTAATATTTTAACCTGAGAGAAGCATTCCCTCTGATAATAGTGATTGTTTTAAACTCTCCTAGAGCAAAATAAATTTCAGTTCTATGATCACTCTTTTTTTTAAAAAAAGGTGGACTGAGGAGGGGATTGAATGATGATTAACTAGGATTTGTTGGGTTTCTTTGTTTTTGTTTTTTAGGTAGCCACTGTTGTGAAAAATATAATACAGAGTTATCGGCTAGGTCCTAAAGGACTCATTTACATTGCCCAGTGCGAAAGTTGTCCTACAAGTTTAAAACAAGTAGTTGCCACCAACATGGCTTAAATATATTCAAGGCACTCAGATTTCCATTTTAAACCAAATGATAGTACAAATTTATCTTTGCTCTCATTTCCTCATTTTTCAATTAAAGACTTATCTCCCCACCAAAAATTAATTGATATTGTCAATGTTTTAAAGACAGAAATCAAAGTAACAAGGAATGTTTTCCCCTTTTCAGTGTTATCTGTCTATTGATAAAGGGTTAATTCAAAGCACATTTTCATTTATTTTTTAAAACATGGATATGATATATTACAGAATGTATGCAGCATGGTTGGTTGTTTAAAAATTCTTGTTTTGCTTTTCTCTCTTTCTCTTTCTCTCTTTCTCTTTCTCTCTCTCTCTCTCTCTCTCTCTCTGTGGGTTTTCCTGGAATATCACTGGAAACAGCCATGGTGCTGTGCATGTGTGTGAGAGATCTTTTTGTCTGTTTGCTCAGCAAAGAATTTGGGGACATTTTTTTAAAAAAAAACAGCCATAACATACCATACATGCTGTCTAATTTTTTAAAAAATTAATAAACATACACAACATGTAAATTATTGCACAAGAGAAAGGCTCAAAGTTTGCGTAGTATTGCCCCAATACAGATCATGCATTCAAATGATGAAAACAGAAAAGAAAGGAAAAACAAAACAAAAAGGAAGATGAAAACAGGTGTGCTGGTGACAAGCACTTTCTGAATACCATTCTTAGCTTCCAATATTTTACTCACAAGGGACTAGAAAATCTCTACACAGGGGGCCAGGAATAAATTGGGGGAAGGAAGGAGAAGGGGGTCAAGTTAATATACCTCTATTCAGTTTTTATGTCATTATTCAAGACTCGATCACTGTGCCATTTTTTCATGTGTTTTTCCAGGGTACTGTACACGCTAAAAGGCATCTTACAAATTTCACATTTGTAAACGTCCTTCCCCACCTGACCATGCGTTTTCATGTGCCTGGTGAGTTTGCTACTCTGGGCGCAGGCGTAGTTACACAGCTCACATTTATAAGGCCTTTCCCCAGTGTGGCTTCTCCTGTGGACAGTGAGGTTACTACAGTTCTTGAAGACTTTCCCACAGTACTCACAAGTGTCGCTGCGTCTGCCCTCTTTTGAACTAGGCCTTCCAGGGCCTGGACCACTAATATGCGGGGTGCTCCCTCCACTTCCTGTACCGCTGCGGCCTGATATCCCTCCATCCATCTCCCCGGGAGGCGTCGAGAAGCGTAAACTTCCATTTTCAGAGGAGTGTTCTGAGGAGGAAGCAAAAGGCGATTGTCGGGAGTCTCCAAAGTTGAGGAATGGATCTTTTAGCTGCCGAGAAGCAGCATACCCAGCTAGCCACTGGGAGTAAACATTTTCAGTGTTAGGCATAGCTGTCGTGGGAAGGTCAAACTCCTTCTCAAGTTTGATGCGTTTAGAAAAAGGACTTAGGGAGCTTGGGCTACCCAAGAGCAGCTTTTTGGACAAACCTCCGGAGGCAGATTCACCAGGGGAACACCCCCGACCATTAATAGCACCATCATCGATGCGATCAGATTCACCAGCTACTGAGTCTTCATCACATGTATCTCTATGCACCTCAGATTCAGATAAGTGCCCTCGTTTATGTTTCTCACCAAGAACCTGATGGAAAGCCTCACTGAAGTGCTGCATGGAACTCAGGACCATCCCTTGCATGACATCCGGGATAGAACGATTCTCCTCAATAGACCGGGAATTGTTTTCATGGTGCCGAGCTGCTTCTAGATTGATGCCAAAACCATAGTCTGGCCTTTCATTTTCAGTCAAATCCTCCTCTTCTTCTTCTTCCTCCTCTTCCTCCTCCTCCTCCTCTTCTTCCTCTTCTTCATCCCCATTTTCTGGAATAATATTGGAATCATTCTCACTTTTAAACTTAGCCACCACAGATTTGAGGGCACTGCTAGCACTGCCAACAAGATCACTGGTTCCAGGCTCTGGGGAACTGGCTGTTGAGAGGCCATCATCTGACTTCACAGTCATTGGGGAGGATTTGTGCATGTGTGTTTTCATGTGGCGTTTTAACTTGCTTGCTTGAGTGCATGCATGGTCACAAAGGTTGCACTTGTAGGGTTTTTCTCCAGTGTGGCTTCTACGATGGACAACTAAGTTGCTCTGAAATTTAAAGGTTTTCCCACAAAATTCACAGGACTTGGATTTGATAGGAGGCTGAGAAGGAGGAGGAGCAGATTGAAGAGGAGGAAGAGGAGGTGTTGCCAGAAATGGTGGCTTGCTGCCTGGCTGGAATGGTTGTAGTAACCTTTGCATAGGGCTGGGCCGGTTCGGTGACAATGGTGGACTAGAGGTGTTTCCAGCTAACTCCCTAAGCCGCCTGGAGAAATCCATAGCTGGAGGCTCCATGGCCATGGGGTTGAGTCGCAGCACCCTGTCGAAGGCACTGGGGTGATGGGTTGCAAGAGCCATTTCTTCAGCACCTAGGCGTTCTATGCGATGTGGATCCAAATGATGTCTTGGAGGGGGACTAAACAAAGGAGGTGTGGGAGGGAAACGGCCTTCTCCAAGACCTGATGCTTCTCTCGCGACTGACCCAGGTATTCTAAGAAGATTAAAAGGATTATTGTCTGCAATGTGAATCCCATGGAGTGGTGGCTGAGAAGGGCATTCTGCACCTAGTCCTGATGGGATACCAACCCGCGGTGTCAGAGGACTTCCATGTTCACTTTCTAAGTAGATTCTTAATCCATGAGTGTTCTGTGCATGTTGCAAGAGAAACCAGGCGCTGTTGAATGGCTGTTTACATGTTGTACACGTGTAACTGCTGGGTTCATCTTTACCTGTAAAACAACACAATGGTAACATCAATCTTTTAATTATCAAATTATTTCTGACATCAAAAGAGAAATTAATTTTTGTTAAATGTAATGCTAAATTGATTCAGTGCTTAATTCAGGCATTTGTAGTAGCCATAACGTTACCTTCAAAGCCACCTGTATTTACTGCCATAATCGGCCAGAAAATAAGCAGTTCCTCTCAATTAGACAAATCCTCTCACATGGATTTGTCTAATTTTGTTCTAAAGCCCCTGAAGCCAATGGCCACTTACTGAGGCAACAAATCCCATCCATCATTCTTCTAACATTTATGAGAGAAAACTCACTGCTTGTTTTCTGTATATTCTGCATAATTATATAACTTTGGTTTCATGCATCTAACAATCATTGGAAAGTATATAATTATCTCCTTAATACACTTCTTTGTCTACACTGTTAAAAATATCAATTACTGAAGTACTATATACAACTATCAACATCAATGATTAAGCTCTTTGTCCTAGACCAGCAAAAACGTACTTATTGTGTGTACAATCCTACATACCTGAGAATAAGTCTCTTATTTTGGGACTCACATGTTTGTGTAAGATTGGATAGGATAACACTACTAGGGATTGTAGCACAAAAATAGCATTAACTCAGCTACGTTTTCAGTTAACTTCAAAATTTTTAATGAGATTAATTCAATATAAACTTTACACTATAAAGTTGGCTGTGCAATGCTACAAATTTGGTTAAGAAGGAATATTTTGGAGCATCTCATTAAAACAGTTGTAATTTCTTCCAAGATCACATCACTACTGAGGGGACAATTTCTACCACAATTCTGCAAACACATGGCTATTTTAATTATGACTAAATGTGCTGCTCTGGCTTATTCTGAAGCAATCTAAAATATTGCACAGCCTTAACTACAAAGCTTACTTTAGAATAATTTCCTATTATTTCAGTGAAATGTTGTTTAAGATTTAAAGAGGCAGCCAACTGCACTCATGCTTACCTGGAACTATGTCCAATTGTTTTCAATGGATCCTACTCTTGAGTAATTATGTTTACAAATAATTATTGCCTATAGGTGCTTTATAAGCATACTGACTTTAAAACAAATATTTTTGAAATAATATAGAACTAAATTCTGAGGGTAAAGATTGTTAATCACATAGGAGTAGAAATTAATTACTTATCAGTTTTCTTTTGCAAACATGAACAATAAAAAATGAAAGTCAATTCCATTAAAATATTCCCTGATTTTTAAGAGAGATTAAACTATCAAAATGAAACTGTTTAAAATATATGATACAATAGAAGTTTGGGGTTTTTTGCGGGGGGGGGGTTGAACTGACTTATAACATATACATTACCTCTGATAAAAGGGCAAATTTTATATATATGCTAGGATTTTTGAAATGACAAGTTTAAATAAAAATATATTTTAGATAGTTCAATTCTCACATTTGACTGAAAAATCAGTTGTCTATCTAAATTTAGTGAGGTGAACAATTGCAGTTTTTCTAGAAAATATTTAAGACTGTAAATGTGAATTTAATATTTTAAAATATTTGCATGTTATTTAAATATATGAGTTGTTTCAATAAACATTTTAGTGGGCATCCCTCTTCTTATTCTTTTTAATTTCATTTTAATCAATTGTCCTATAAAGAGTTGCAAATGCTGAACAGTTTCACCTCTTTTATGTTCAGAATAATCCTATTAGATAGATTAGATTGAATGCAGGTAGCTGATGTAACATCTTCCACTAAGCTTTGGGACTGAGAAAAATTTGGACACTTCTATACTTGGTCTGATATCTCCTACAAGCCTACTAGTTCTACACTCTAGAGCAGTTTAACTATCAATTAGCTTATGGATGACTGAGTAAATACAAGTGTGTGTGTGTGCGCGTGTGTATGCGCGCGCGCATACCTAGCCTCAACAAGATTTGTATGTGGTGCTCCTAATGTTTATATTCAAATGGCTAAAATAAAATGGAAAAAGACTGTTGTCTTGTAAAAAAAAGTTTTTTGGTGTGCGTGTACATATCTATATATTTGTCTATTTGTCTGTCTTGGGGTGCAATGGCTCAGTGGTTAAAGAAGCTGAGCTTGTCATCTGGAGAGCTGACAGCCTGGGTTAGAGACCCAAGCTCTGTGCAATAGAGTGAACTCCCATCACTTGCCCCAGCTTCTGCCCACCTACTGTAACTATTTGAAAATAACCTGGCAGAAATCAGAATAACTTCATCCTTGCATCTAGTTTAGCAGTTCAGTTTCCTTGAATATTTGGGTAGTTTTCTAACAATCTTTTTGATATACTCTATCTGTTCTGCCTTATTATTATCAGTGTTTTTCCAAAGAGAAGACTGGGTCTTATTTTTTTTAAACCCCCGAAAAAATGGCGAGGCCTTCTTTTTGGAGGGTTCTAATTATTGACTCACCTCATGGAGGCAGCACTGACAGCCCTGCCCTGCAGGAGCCCGGAAAGCCATCTACAGCCAATAATAGAGCTCCGGATCAATCCAGAGCTCTGTTATCACTGCAGACGCCTTCCAGCAGGCATCTGAAGGCGAAACGGAGGCCGGGGTGATGCATACGAGTGACAGCAAGTGGCCACAGAAGAAGACAAGGCAGGTGCGAGGTGTGCGAGGCCTGGTAAGCAGGGCAGCTCCACCCCCTCATCCCTACCCTAGCTTATTTTTTACCTGTGTGCCTCACCCCACCCCCTACACCCCGGGTAAGCGGGGTCTTAATTAGGGATAATTTTGTGGGTGGCGCTTAATTTGATCATATGCACTCGAAAACGTGATAGGGCTTCTTTTCAAGGTAGGTCGTCATTTTGGAGAAACACGGTAATATTTTATCATTGTTTTCCTAGTATTTCTTATAGTGAACAGGCATTGTTAAATACACCAGTGCAGGATATGGAACCTATGGAACATCATAAACTAGCAATTCCTCTGGTAAGGAAGAAATTAACAAAGAGGAGTCCAAAATGTCTACAAAGATTGGGGGAGAGATGTCCGAATGTTTAGACTCAAAGCAAATTTATCTTGAAATTAAAAAATGAAATTGCCTTTGCTGTTCCATTAATCTTGTCCAGTAATGCTGAGGACACAGTACACATACACATATTATGAAACTCTGATATACATATTCAAATGACTAAGAACATGTGTCTGTAGTTCATACTTTATGCATTTTCTGAAAAAAAATTGTTGTGTGAACATAACTGTCTCATAAACAGAACTGATGGAGCAGAAAAGCTCAGCCTGAACAAGGCCAACTCCATCACTGTGTGAAATGAAGCAGATATTTGAAGCTGCAGATGGGCAGAGCCTATTTCCCACTTCCTGTACTGTCAACTGCCTGCCCACAGCAGTCTTTTCATTTCATCTAAGACTGGGGTGGGGAACTATAGCCTTTTTTTGACTTGTGGTCTTCAACTCCCAGAATTCCTGAGCCAGCCATAAAGAGGTCATAGTTACCCACCTCTGGTCTAAGACAAATGGATCTTGGGAATGCTTTCCTGTCCTACTAGTCTCCTTTTTGCCACTGCTATGAGATGGAACTCAGATTGACATACATGAGGCATTTGTAGTACTTGTGGACAGTCAACGTGGCCACCTCACAAAGTCACTTGGAAGATCCCTTCAAAATGATGTATAAAGAGCAGTTGATCCTGGGTGCAACATTGCAGCTAAGGAAGAAGTCTATGAGAGCAGCAATTTCTCTCTGTTTCAGGAAGTGAGTCTTCTGGAGTTACAGCTGAACCCAAAGGTTCATTCCTCTGCTCCTGCTGGATCTGAATTCTGCCAACAGCCAGCAAGCAGCATCCCTGGCGCTGCTTCCCTACAGCAATAACCAACTCAACATAAAAAAGGCTCCCCCAATTCTGTAGTTATAAAAATGCACCTGATTATTAGAGCATAGTCCAAAGTCTATTTTCCAGCAATTCTCCATAGTGTAAAGAATTTGCATTACAGGAAACACCTTGGTTGAAATAGTTGAAAATATGCTAATCAGAACAGAGTGTGCTGAGCAAGACATGCCAACAGTCAAAATCTGTATAAAGCTGCATTACATGAGCTGATTGTGAAGTTGATGACTGGATTGTTTTAATAATGCATAAATTGCCAAGAGTTACCAGGCAATAGTGTATGTTCATGTTTGGAAACAAGAATATGTATTTTGTTGAAATGCCCCTACAAATGCATATTGTAGAGCAAACTTTGAAGAGCAAACTGGATTTACAATGGTATTTGACTGCAATATGTACTTCTGTAACGACCTGTAATACACTTTACATCAGTATTTATACTAGCACTCAATATAGCCAACTTGTGGGCAAACCTTCTTACAAGATTAGACAGTAGATGCCAAAATGAGGTTTCCAAATGCATGCTTAACAGAGGTGGTATTCAGCAGGTTCTGACCAGTTCTGGAGACCCAGTAGCGGAAATTTTGAATAGTTCGGAAACCGGCAAATACCACCTCTGACTGGAGATTTTACAGTATCCTTCCCCTGCCACGCCCACCAAGCCACGTCCACAGAAACGGTAGTAAAAATTTTGAATCCCACCATTGATGCTTAATATATGTTCAGGTGGAAAAAGAGGGAGAAAAAAATGAAGTGGATGGATTTGATCTTCATTGTTCTTGTTTTTCTCCTTACTTCAATTATGAAAAAGCAGTTTTACAAGAGGATTTTCATTATGTAAGGTACTGAATAAATGACTTTGGAAAATGATAGGCAGGCAGTATTACAGCAACCTCTACTACAACTAACACTGAATGCCCCCCCCCCGAACCTTCTTCAAGTTTCAGTTTTTCTATTATTATACATTTAGTCTGACAATTTAAATTGGGTGATCTAAAAATGAGAAAGAATCAGACACTGTTTGCAGGTGTTTAGCATTTTGGTTGCTTAAAAAAGCTTTTGAACAATATTTAACATTTCATTATTTTGTCAGTGCCAGCATTTCAATGAACCACATGTAGTGTTTAGCA